ACGCTCAGATACACATTTTCTCATCTCCTTCAACCTCGGTGCTCATCGAAGGATGCGCTACCATATATCGCTATATCAACCGGAGTAGTGTTGAACGCAGATCTTCGAATTCTTATCAACAAGTGGTGTGATTGTATGATCAGAGATTGAAGGGGAGGCGAACGCTAGAACCGACTCCTCCTCTTCCTCGTCCCTTATTTATTATCCGCGGCACTCGCCTACCTAAAAGAACCATAATCCATAGCCAGAGGTAAATATTATATTTCCATGTAAACTGGAAAGGATGTACTAATTAATGTTATGTTCGCTGCAGGTGTGGCCGCCTGGCGAAATGGCATCGCGTCTGACTACGATCAAATAGCGGGCATTCGGTAATCAGGAGATTGCAGGTTCGACCCCTGCGGTGGTCATAATACCGTTTATTCGATTTTGGTTTTTGACAATCTAAAAAGACGGGATCTCAGTTATAGAAACGTTGAAAAGCACTGAAACTTCTGTTAGCATATACACAAGAAGAAGGCCCTTTGATTTTTGATCAAGATTTGAGCGACTAGATGAACTTATCCATCATTTTCCATTTTGTATCGCATCTCCTCCTGCAACTCTTCATTTTTGTTATATATAAAATAACTACATGAAGCTAAGGAGCATGTCTACTAGTATTTCAAGCCAAATCTTATAACCAATGCTCTGAATGTATGTAACCAAAGATCTAAGTGGTCCTCGCACAGAAATTAAAGTCCGTTACATCTTGCCACGTGGGGTCCGTCGAGTTCGCCCCAAAAGTACATTTCTGAAAGTAAATTGCTTCAGTTAGACTCAAGCATAACTATTGGCGGTGTGACATGGTATTACCCTTCAGGCCTCTTAAGACCAAGCCCCAGTGTTGATAGATGATGAGCAAGTTCGAAGTTGAGAGAGACGAGCAATATCTATGCGTCCGACTTCAGGAACTACTCTCGATGGACGTAGATATATTCTCGAACGAGCTGATCTCTGGACACAAAGCATCACAGCCGACTCCGTAAAAGACCATCCTGTCGCGTTCAAATAATTCCCCAATGTAGCGATCGTTGACGAATTCGCGCTTGCATTATATACAGGCCAACCCAACGAAGGCAATCCATTCTGAGGATCTTGAGCAAAAGCCACCCAAGCGCTTTGCACTGGTGTTTTCGATAGCGCTATTTCAGTGGACGTGGACGGTGCTTGAATGCCAGTTTCTATCACGAAAGCACTGCTGTCGCTACTCAGATTGTATGTTCCAAACACCATTGGGACTTCAGA